CTATCATCGTCCACCGCAATAGAGAGCATTCCGTGAAAACGAGGTAGTGTTTGTAACAATCAAAACAAATCGATGTTTAAAAATGGCGGTATTGTCTGCAATGTGCTTTTTATGAATGTTTCATATCATATCATAGCTATGATAGATAATGTAGATGGAATTAGAGTTCCAACAAATATTATATTTTTCACATTTCTAATTGTAGAAAGAAATATTTGGTGTAACTTAATAAAAAGACAAGAAAATAAAAATAATTTAAAGACAACAAACCTACTTGATAAGCAAGTAGGTTTGTTGTCTTTAAATTATCTTTAATTTTTATAAGTCTTATCTGGTTTTATAATAACTTTTATAAGTCTTTTATAAGTCTTATCTGTGTACCAAATGTGGTTTTATGGACCTTTTCTTGTAAGAAATGCTTTTGACATAATCAAGTCATTATGTCAAAAGTATTTGTTACAAGAAATGGTCCGTAAAACCCCATTTGGTACACAAATAAGACTTATAAAAGTTTTTAGGACAATATTGCACTCATGAAATAAATTTTTAGTGTCAGATACAGAAAACCACAAAGTTTCAGAAACATAATTACTCGAAAATTTACATCGAAAATATACATAATAACTCGAAAATATACATAATTATGTATAATTTTTTGAAATAAAATTAAGTAATTTTAGTTAAAATGTTTTTTCACTTATTTAATTTAATCATTTTTTATGACTAATTTAACCGCTATAACACCTTTGTATCAAACAAGTTCCAGCAAACAAAAAGATATCTAAAATGCATCTAATATGCATCTAAAAACTAGTCTAAAAGACGTCTAAATTCACGTCGTGAACGGGACATAAATAGATGTCTATCTTATAGATGTCTTTTAGATGCTTTTTATTCAACACAAATAAATGCCTTAGATGCATAAAAGATGTGAAATATACATTTAAAGATGTATATTAGATGTATATTATATGTATAAAAGAGCTATTATTAGCTAAAACAATTATCTATCTAAAATGGGTTAAATCTATCTAAAATGGGTAAAAATTATCTTGCTAAAAAAATTATCTATCTTTTTTAAACGCGTCTTAGACATCTATTTAAGAGACGTATTATACATCTAATATGCATTTGTAAGATGTATATTTCACACCTTTTATGCATCTAAGGCAATTATTTGTATCGAATAAAATGCATCTAAAAGACGTCTTTAAGATAGACGTCTATTTATGTCCAGTTCTAGACCTGAACTTAGACATCTTTTAGACCAGTTTTTAGATGCAAATTAGATGCATTTTAGATATCTTTTTGTTTGCTGGGTAAAAGCGTTTTCTTGATGACAAGGCTAGGGGAAAGGCGCCTATGATGGCATACTTAACTTTGAAGCTTTATTATTCAGTATCCTGAAGACCAAGAACAAATGTTTTGATATAGATATATTCTTGATTACATATAGAACAATAATAACCTTAGAAGTTTTCATCAGTTTTATTTTTTTAATTAATTATTTTTATTTTTAAAAAAAGCACAAGTATGCCATCATAGGCAACTACTGGTCCTATGATGGCATAGGGGAGGATGGGGTTGGTTAGCATAAGGGTAGCTTGAAAATTTCATTTGACCGAAGAGTCTTCCCTCAGAAATGCCAGAAACTACGCGTAATCATCCTAATTAACCCATTTGTGCTGCACAGCAGCAGTGTCAAATTTTGCGCATGCGTATAAGAGATGTTTCGTTTTATGTGTTTTTTGAACCATAAATTACTTAGTGAAGTAAAAATTCTATTTTACTTTAATAAGAAGTATGTTGTTTTTATGAAAAAAAAAGTTTTTTTCCACTCTTCAATATTGCAACACACCTAACTCGTCAGTGTGCCATCTTAAGAAGAAATTTTTTTTATTTAAACAAGCTGTGTCTGCTTTGTTCAAAAGATAAAATTAAATTAAGTGTTCCACTAAATGCACAAAACATGGAAATAAAATTATTATTTTATTTATTATTTGTGCTAAGTTCAATATTTGTACTGAAAAAAGTTCCTATTATATGTACGATATTTTATTTTATATATTGTAAACGAATCAGTTTATATTATGATCACGTATTTGTGAAATTTTGATAAAAGAACAAAAAAAATTACAACATAAAAGAAATTAGGCTACGTAATTAGCGATATAAATGTACAACAGAATAGAAATTAAGCTACGTATTTGGCGGCATAAATTTAAACACATGCTAAATATAGAAAAATTAATGATTTTTTAATGATTTATATTGAAAGATTTTGAAAGTTTTGTTAACTAATAAATCAATTAAGTCAGTCGTGACTGACAAGAGGAAGTTGAAAAGTGTAAAAATGTTAAATATGAATGCTAAAAAAATATGAATATTTAAAATAATGTTGTTACAGATAATTCCAGCCAAGTTAAATACTGGATAATTCGAACTTTTATTATTTCGAATTGGTTCTTTGAAATCGTCTAACCCAGTAAGCACAGAACAT